GCTTTCTCACCCCCCTTTAGCTGACAGTCTTCGTTCACAGCCAGGTTGCCCGGCTTCAGGTCCTACAACAGACGGGAGCAGAATAATAAAGATGTTTTTAGTCACAACGCATCGACACGAGCCTTGGCCAAACCCCTGCTTGCCTTTGAGCGGTTCCCACAACATCCCACGTCCGGATACAGCGAAGACACCACGCCTGCTGTACCGTACGGCTTTAGAGTATTATTTTATCTTTTTCTGAAAGCTTTCATTCAAAGAGCAGCGTAAGATGCTCCCCAGCTCATCAGAAAACCCAGCGTTCCCTCAAAACACTGCACAAACGAGCAAATCCGAACACGTGCAGGGTGTAGGAGGGAAAAGAGGGAGGACGCCAGTGAGACCTTAGAGCAGATGAGGCTGTTAGTGGAAAGATTTTTAGGAATTTATTAATTTTGCGGCCAAGCTGCGTTTCTCCTGAACAGACCAAAAATCAGAGCGAGCGCGGGCTTACCCTGTGGACGATCCCAGCGGAATGAATGTACTGCAATAAAAAGAGGAGCCACAATGTGAGCACCAGCAGACAAAGCTTTCTGTTCCCCAGCAGAAACGAGAGCTACGGACAAGAACTTGCTGAGAACACGACTCTGCACCTGCTCAAGGGTCCCCAGGGCAGCAGCTTGAAAAGAAATCTCCGCCCTGGATTTATTTCTGAGAGTGTTTGCAATGATACCGTCAGCCTGAAGAAGAGGCACAGAGCAGAAGAGGAGCAACAGCTCCTCAGAGAAGTACAGCAATAGCTTCAAACTATCAAACAAAGGCATCAGGGTTACAGGGAGGAACACGGTGAGGAGACGACGGGAAAACTTGGTTATTTTGGGTGTTAAACCACACGGGGGGGAAAAAAAACTCATTAAAACACAAAACTGCGAAACCTGGCTGCATGGCTTTTATCACACCAGTTCAACCTGCTGCGTGTTCTTCCCCCGGTTGTTTAAACTCAAGGTAACAGTGACTGGGGAAAGGTGTTATTACGTGAGCTCGTCAGCGCCCGTAAGCCACTGCTCTCACCCGGGTGAGGGATGTTGCAGAGGCAGCGTTAAGGCCTTGTCTCTACGTCCCAGGGTTTGCAGGGATTGCCTTCTGCTCTCTCAAAGCAGCACGGTCTGTCTGCGTTCTGTTGAACAGAAAAACCTTCCCTCTGTCTTCTCCCCTGAGAGCCTCTGGTGGGAGTTCAGCAGAAGCTCCCGTTGCCACCAGCCGCTTCCTTTCTACGCAGGGTTTTGGCAGGTCAGAGAGCGACACAACTGCTGCCACGTTAAAAACCATCGCAGCATCTGTGGCTGCTGCCTTCTTCAACACCTGATTGACTGTCGTGACAAGCAGCTCTTTCGTAGATGTATGCTGGAACACGAGTAGTTCAACAGCAAATATCTGTTCTCAGGGGATGCCATAACCCCCCAAATTTTCCTGTTCAGCGTTGGAAGGGGGTTTAGTTACAGTCAGCCCGGAGGTGACGTGTAGAGGAGACACAGGGAGTCACTAAACTCCTCCAGACCCACCTACCTTCAGCCCTTTCAGCATTTGGTAGACCAGGTACTGGATCTTTTCATCACTGAATTCATGTCCCATGATCTTTTGTAAATCTGTCCGCATGTATGGCATCACCAGGTAGCTAAAAGGCAGTAAGACAAGGCCCTGAGTCTAGAAGAAAACCACTGGGAACCAGGCTAGCCTTGTTCTCACTTGGTTTTTTGTTGGTTTGGGTTTTTTTTCTCTGTGTAACTGACTGTAACTAAGGCGGGTTGCTGTGACACTGTTGCTGGCTAATTAGCACAGCCTGCAGTGACGCTGGGCTTTCAAGCTGCTCTTTCTCCTCCCCTTAAACTGGATATCTGCACAAGGATCTTCCAGACTTTAATGATCCTCGATTAGTTTACTTTAGACCTCAAGTGATATTCAGTTCCGGGCGGCCTTACACCATCCCGGGAGCTGAAACATCCTTGTGCAACTCCAAGAGTCTTGCAAAACTGCTGCGTCGGCTCCCAAATTTATCTCCGTAATGTTCACCAGCCCTGCCTCGGAAGACAAGATCTCACTTCCTTCAGGTCTTTGCCCTGCCCACTGCTGAGACTGCTCATTAGTTAATGGTCTTCCAGCAGGAACTGCTCTGAGAACCTTCTAACACTTTTCCCTGCGGGATGCTCAATGCCCGAACCCCAAAGCCAGGCACACGTTGCTCCTGCCCAAGGATGGGGAAGGGAAAAACGACTTGTCCGACCTGACCATCAACACCAAAGGAAATGCCAAAAAAACAAACGAACACAAGAGTCAGGATCAAGAGGAAAAGAAAGCCAGATCTTTAAAATTCCCAGCTGAGCAATATTTCTCCCATTCCGAGCGCAGCCTCTCAGCTCAGCGGTCACGGCGGCAGCGTCGGGGCTGCGTGTGATTCGCCGCGGAACGTGACGCCTCTTTCATGCCTCTTCCTTACGTGTTCTGGTCTCTACGTACTCGGTTCTCCCAGCTGCAAGCACAGCGTGGAATTTCTTTACATGTTCTGGGTGTTTTAGCCGTGGGAACTGGCTCCTCTCTCAATTTTTCTCATTATTTGGGGATGCCTGGCACCTTTTCAGCTCAGGCTGTCGGATGGCGCCTCAGCCTGACCCGTTATCCCCCTGCTACGCCCCCAGCATCGAGGGCAATGGCTGAGCCCAGATAGAGCAAACCCAAACTCCAAACTTACAAGTCCTGGAATCCGTGGTAGGAGGGAGCGGAGGTGAAGACATCAAGCAGCCCAATGACCTGATGGAGAAGAGAAGCCCAAATTTAAACTTGGAAAGCATTCTCTGTGCATGTGGGACTCGGGAAGCAGCTCTCCCCCGGCACACGGGCACGGGTGAGCACCGAGAACTCCACCCGAGGAATCCGAGGACTCCTCGCTATGCTGCGCGGCTGCTTTGCCTCTTACTAATCCATGGGAGCACCCATTACGCACGGGAGCACCCGCTACACCTCTGCTTCAGCCTGGTGCCAGCTGGGCGCAGCTGACACGTAACAGTCAACCCCTGAGTCTGCCCACACGTGCCAAGTGTTGGGACCTCTCAGTTAAAATAAAGATGATGCCACCAGGAAGGACGTACTACCAGGTGGCAAGAAACCGCACCTTGTCTCCGCAGGGAAAAGGGAATGAGCACTTGACTTGCTATTTTTTTTCAGCATGAGCTCTCTGTACGCTCTCTTGGCAAAGATCTCCGACTGGAAGGGGCGGCAGAGCTTCTTGATGGCCACTTTCTCCCCCGTCTTCTTGTCTATGGCTGAACTGCGGCGGACAAACAAAACCCCAGTTCTCACACGGGCGATACATTCGGTCATATTTTGCAATATCAGAGCTCTTCTCCTAGAGAAAAGCTAATTCTGGAGGTCGTGGATGAACAACAAAGAAAGGCCCCTTGATCTGCACACACAGACGTGTCCTGCGTGAGCTGGGGCCAGCCCACGGTCCTCTTTGGAGGACTAAGCGGGAGACCGAGCAAAGTATTAACAGCTCATCTTTATTCCCCTTAACCTGCAGAAATGAGCCATGAGAAGAGAGAAACACAACAGGTTAAAGGGCAAGACAAGTTCTAACTCCGCTTTCTCCTTTCCTAACGCCTGGAGATAAGGGAATAAAGAAATTTCTTCTTTGCCATCTGCTTGGAGGTTGTCACCTTGTTAAGGCACGTCAGCCACCTGCGCTGTGTCCTGGAGCGTGTGCTGCAAGGACAGGGTGCCAGAATGAGTTCTCCTGCATTCAGGATCTTTGATGCTGTACCTATAGCTCTGAGTAAAAGCAGGTCTGGCTGAAAACAAGAGTCCGATATAAAGGTGATGAAAACGTCGCTGGAGCCACAAGGTGTTACTCCCTCTGCCCACGCTCGCTGCTCGCAGCTGGACGGGGTGATCCTGCGACACTTTCCCCGCTCCTGGAGGCTCTGCCGTTAGGTTGCAAAGGCGGCCCCAGGTTTCAGCAGGCAAGAAGCCGGGAGGGAGGTCCTCAGGCAGGGAGAGCTATAATTTGGGATTCCCGGTGGTGTTTTCTGGGGGGTGTCAGTGCGCCCCAACACACATCGGTGCTCCAGCCCCTCCTCGACTCCTCCAAGACGGCGCTGGGGGTCCCTTTGGACCGCCCTGTAAATCCTTCTCTCACCTCCTGGGGAAAGGGAAGGGCTGTAAATCCACACGTTCTGTCCCAGCTTTTAGCTGTGCGGGGTAACCCAGCCCACGTGAACGCTGGCGTCAGCACTTTGAGTGTGTCCTCCAGCCTCGCACAGACGATTTCCCCGGTTTCCTTCTCCGAAAGGACGCGTGATTCACGCCGTCACGGCCCCCATCTGCCAGGCTCCAGCCACCTCGAGCTTCCTGGAGGACCCGAGACAGGGAGGGGCAGGTACCATAAAGCTTAAAACAACATCACCGTGACCTCCAGGGCCGTCGCTCGTAAATAAACAGGGAAATAACCTCTATGACAGCACAAGCAAATGGTGCGTTTCATAGGAGAAGTGGGAATATCCCGCTCTGCGGAGGTTTCTTTTCTTTTCTTGGCCCCTGCGGTCCCTTCCAGTTGCTCCAGGGCGTGTATGATGAGAAAAAAACCCCACGTCCTTTGGGGGCTTCGGTGTGATGGGAACGTCGACGAGGCATTCAGCTGGGCAAAGCCAAGAAACAGCTCCGTGAGGCCAGTTCAGCGCTGAAGGTGCGACGAGGAGATCTTAGGAGGACAGCGAAGAGTTCTCTCAGTTCTCAGGAAGAGAAGAGTTCTCTCAGGACTTTGGCAGGTGGGGACAGCACAGCGAAAAGGTTTCCAAGGAGCCAGGGGAGTAAGAGGAAGGGGCTGAGCCCCGACCCTCAAATAGCTTCTGCAGAATTCGAGGCAGATTTCCTAACCCGGGGGTGCGTGTCCTTACCCGCCTTCCCAGCTGCTGACATCCCCCTCGGAAGATTCTCCTTCCAGCTGCCACGGATTTGGGCAGAACTAACGAGGGAAGCAGCACATCTTTGCTGGTTTTGCTGAGTTTGCATCGCAGCCGCTCAAGGAGATGGAAGAAGCCGGCAGCTCCGAACGACGCTGTGTTCGGGAATGGTCCCAGCGATTCCCAGCAGAGGACAGCAAATCCCAACTCCACGGGCTTCCACCTCGGTTTTGTAGAGGAGGGGGCACCTCCAGGGGCCAGGCCAGCCCCTGTCCAGGGACCAACCTCTCCCCCGGCACCCTGGGGCTGTTTTAACTCTTTAAATACTTTAAACACCCCTCCCTGGGGTCTCCAGGGCAGCCTAGACTTTCCCTAGGACGAGTAAATATTTGTCTTTCTTTTTTACTTCTTTCTGGTGGACAAGGAAACTTTGCAAGGATTTCCCTCTTCACTTTTTTTTTGTCCTGTCTTTATTTTCTTTCAGTTTTTCCCTGCTCTCCTTTATGATAAAAAACCAGAAAACACTGCACAAACATATATATAAAAAAGTCAAGTTTAGTCTTGGCTGATTTTGCAGGACTCGTTTGAGCATCTTGGAAGCTTGAATGAACCTGGACTGCAGAATAGGGAAAGGAGACACTGGGTGCCTCTTTGTAAAGTGTCAGGGGACAAGGACAGACCCCAGGCGTTCAGGATCCGTGCGTGACAGGTGGCAGCGAGACTTTACCCAACACATACTCATACAAGAGGGAACACCCCTCCTTTTTTTTTTTTTTCCTTTTTTTTTTAGCTCAGTGTGTTACAAAACAAGGGCTTTGCTCTGATCCCGTCAGTGGGCTGCTTCACATTTACCTTCTGAAAAGCCACTCGTCTCCTCCCGTTCACCAGCGTAAACCAACCAAGATCCAACTTCTGCTTCCTCTCGCTGCAGCACCTTTGCCCAGCTGACCCCGCTTTACACTAATTTCGATTTTATGCCTCCAAGCAGGAAGCAGGATCAAGGCAGGAGTCATGTTGTCCAGCTCCTTTCCACTGACACGCTGCAGAGAAGACGCCGTGGCTGGCCCTGACCCCGCACCCCCCCCTACGGCCTTCAG